TTCCAGCACTTTCTGTGATGTATACGCTAGCTTATCATAGGAAGTCATAAGAAATGACTCGTTACAGTAGCCTAGTGAGAACAGGGTGTTGGGGAATCACTTTTTTTCTCTTCTTCATCAAGCCGCAATTTTTGCAAGTTCCCGCAATTTCATCGCATAAAATTGCATAAATATCCCACATCGCATTTTAAAAGAAAACGGGCCGCATAATCAAGGATTTTTGCCTGCAACAATCACAAAAAAAGGACTGATTCACACACCAACGATGATTGTCACATTTACATCTGTGTGCCCGTTAACAGTAAGCATCATCAATAAAGGTGTAAACTGAGTTTTAGTACATTTAAAACTTAATGTGGCTTAATGTACCGTCCCACATTTGTATCGTTCATCATCTGGAAAGAAAATCATTCACAACGAGATTCGAACCCATATTATGGAAGCTTGTTTCCGCCACATAATGAAAAATAAGAAAGGTATGCGACTTTTTATCTCACAATTCTGACGTTTTTTTTCTCACAGTTGCGAGTTTACATCTTCACATCAGTTCACATCAGAATTGCGTGATATAAAGTCGCAATTGTGAGAAAAAAGGTCAGAATTGTGAGATAAAAACTCGCAATTGCGAGAAATAAACTCGTAATTCTGACTTTTTTCTCAGAATTGCATGTTTATATCTCGCAATTCTGACTTTATAACACGCAATTGGGAGTTATAAAGTCATAATTGCAGTATAGAAAGTATAGCAGGGTAGGCGATTTGTTCCAGAAAGATATTTTGTTATGCTGGTTGAAAGTAAGTCTCTTCACATCCTGAAAGCAATCACTATATTGCTTTCAAAGTTAACCCTCTGGGGACAAAGGGTTTTTTGAGGCCCTTGGGATGTTTTGACATGCACTGACATTTGTGCTTTTTTCAGTTATTTATAAACATGTTAATGGCAAAGGTGTAAATTCACTCTATATAGGACAAATGGGGCTACCATAATCTTTGAGCAACATGTATTTACATGTTTGTATTTTTGAGAGAATATTATTTATGCATGGTTATTGAAAAACTTAAAAATAAAAGTTTCTGAAATAAAGCCACAAAACACATATTGATTATTTCTTCTCAAGACTTTTGAAACTTGTATCACATAGTCTAGAATATTTGCTCCAAAACTATGTGAGAATCATCCTGACTACTCATTCAGATAAGTCAATAAAGTCTTTTAGAATGTGTATGACATGTTTAGTGTGAGAAAGCTTTATGCGGGGAGGCGTGATCTCTCATTAATATGCATGGCATTTCACACCTGAGAAAGACAAAGACCCTCCCCATAATGGCCCTATTAGGTGCTATCAGGCCCTATCATTAGGAGGAGCCTTGCACAAAGAATGAGGAGATTTAAAAAAGAATGGCTTTTAGATTGTTTGGATTTATTTACAACACAACATAATCCAAAGATACACAACAAAGGACTGGTTTCTGGTTAAAATTGCTTTTTAATTATATATATATACATACACACACACACTGCTTAGAATAAGTGAAAACACCCATGCTAAAGTTGACTAAAAAGAGGAATAAAAAATCTTAATGCCTTAATTTAAAAAATGAGGAAAACTCCAACCTTTAGGGAAATGAATAATGTCCCTGAATTCTTTGTGAATGAATAATGTATCGCAAATAATTAAATGTTCTTCTTTAAAATACAGGGTGAATACTCTGGACACTTCTATCACACACCCTTCACCATATAGACATGGTTTTATTTCAGTTCAAAGTTAGAGTTGGAAACATCTTGAAAATAAAATAGTCTTTTTCCATAAATGTCTTAGTTTGATCATACATATTTCACAGTTGAGGATTCATTATTTTCATATAGCTTGCATTGGAACAAACATCTTAGTTGATTAGTTTATTGACAAAACATAAGCTTATTTGATGTCTTTATTTTGAAGCTTATTTTAAGCTTATTTGATGCTTATTTGATTTGAAAAACTTTATCCAAAACTAGTCAAAGAAATGTTATTTTATTTCGTCTGTAAGTGCGTATCTGCGTTCATTCACACACACACACACACACACACACACACACAGAAACATGATTCACAAAACAGTAGGCTATGCTATTTTTCCGTTTACAGACACTAACGTTATTCTATATCGCGATTAGAACAAAGCACAAAACATTTACACTTCTCAGCTGAATCTGTTGCTCCTCCTCGAAGTGAAACCAGCACTTGTTCTGTGGTAAATGTCCCAGGATTATTCCTCATAGCCGCGCAAGACGAATCTTAATCTTACTTAAAAATTTAGTGTGTTTACAGCATTTGCCAGGGGGCGTTTATCTATTTTGCAAATGGCCTCAACACATTATCTTATGAATAGCGCGCTCTGCGAGTGGGTGTGAACAAATTAACGATAATGAGCTGAGACAGGAGAAACTGTACTTCTCTTTAGTTTCAGACAGATTACATTGCAGGAGAATATTTGTTTTAAATGTGAATTGTTTTATTTAAAAGTAGAAATTTAAAGCGTTCTTTAGACGTATGTTTCATGTTTGTGTGATAAGTATTAGCGGAGTTTCCGTTCATTTTCCAGACATGTTTCAGAAAGATTTTTGCGGAGACAGAGTGAGCTGAAAGCGCACCCTGTTTATTTTATTTATTTAAAAAAAAAAACAAGGTTTTGATGTTAATGTGAGTGTACACAAAAAAAGAAGACCCTCTATAGTTTATAATCATGTATTGATTTTATTTATATGACCATAAATGACGGAGTATTTTAAGTCTATGTTGCTGCTATGTGAAAAAAAAAACAGCAAAACGCGCGGGCGCGTTCTTGGTCCCCAGAGGGTTAACTCACTATATAGCATCTCCGACAATTGCCTACCCTACCTTAAATGATGACAAAAAAAAAATCATTTTTGGATGAACTATCCCTTTAAGTCAAACGTGCCCTTAATTTTAACTGTATAAAAGTAAGTAGTATATAAAAATATCAGACATAAAGCTAAAATAGCCTACAAAGTATAGCGGAACTTGCCAAATTAAGTGCAGATAGTTTTGAGAAGAAAAAAAAAAAAAGGAAGAAAAATAGCATCAAGAAATTTGATGCAAGCTTTTCCACATCAACTTCACGTATGACGTAAACATGCGTAATAAGGAAAAACGCTTACCTGTATGACGCATGCGCAGACGCGGTGACGCTCTGGAGATAAGAGCAACGGTCCGACGAGCCTTTTAAACTAATATCCTAAACGTTTGAGACCTCGACAGGTCTGTTCCCGTGGGCAAGAGCCGTCAGTCTGCTGAGGGAAACAACGGTTGATCCTCTGGGAAGGATTATAAAGAGAAGTTGTACCTTACTTAGCATATCTCTGTGTTTACATCACATTTGTGTCTTTACTGATAACCGGTAAAACACATAAGATAAACCTCTCGGCTGATGTTAAAGATGATCTTTAAATATATATCTTGCCAATATACAAAGAAATAAATATATATGAATGTTTTTAAATATAACTGACCTGTTATCCACTTCTGAACGCTGCTGATAAGCCCCGCCCCTCACATCCTGTGGGCCGCAGTAATTGGATAACAACAGCATGAGTATTCAATTATGATTGGTTCAGTTCTACATAACTCAAACCGCATCTTAAACTTGATTGGCTAGAATGTCAGCGCTCTTTTTTTAAAATGTATATAAAATGTTCTTGCATTGTTAGCCACTTCTTTTCTGTAGTAGGCCTCTCTAAAACAATAGTATGAAAAGGCAGAGCTTTATACAAATAAAAAAACGGATTTTACTATTAAATCAGTATTGAAGATAAACAAATTCTCATCTTTAACTGATTTCCTTCATGGTTCCTTCACAGAACATACTTGATAGATTTGATGTTTGCTTATTTATTTATAGTTTAATTTTATATTATAATTCAATATAACTTTTGTAAGATGATCAATGTGAGGTTATATACAATAGTCCTTTCTTAGTGTAGTCGGAGTGTCAGTATGAGTCTGACTTTGGTCCAACAGACCAAGAATAAACAGATGGTTTTGTTTTCTACTGAGAGGACCAATGGGGAACGGCCTAGTTTGGCTTGGGCAGTTCCTTAGTCATTTTAACAGTTTATTATCATCACAGCTTCTGTGAAGAAACTGTCCCGTTCCCTGCAGCGTACTGCCGTATATAATGCATTTCCCTGGTATTTAGGGTAATTTAATTTAACTACGGCTTTTGAACGAATCTGCCATTCGTATTGATGAACCCAGGTCAGAGTAGCTTGTGGTGCGTTTCAATAGATTAGTCTAAAGTGAGAGAATGACGTGTTTATAATGAGATCTTTTTCTATTTTTCTCATAAGAGTTTCATGAGCTTATAATGAGTGTTCGCTCACTTGTTCAAGTAGTGTAAAGTCATTTCGAAAGGAATGTAATATTACTATCTCGTGAAGTAAGACCAGAGATTGTTTCCAAGTCTAAAATAACAAAGAAAAAATGTGCAAAATGAAATCACACACATGTGTCATTTACATTTGACTTATTTGTGCACTGAATTTTTATTTTTATCCACTCAGTAAATTTAGCAAATAACTGCAAGTAACATGACACTTTAAAGTAGAAAGACTGAAATGGTATTTTCTTGTAAAATATACTCCAATAAACTTCAATAAATCATTTTTACAGTGTACAATATGCATCTTTAAACAGGGAAAAACTGTGTGCATGTATTTTTTTTAGAGAACGCTCTCAATAAATGTGCATTGGTGCAATCAATCTCTGTACCTTTGAATTGACAATTGTGTGTCAACAAATGGAAACAGCAGATTATAGATGAGATATTCAAATAATAAATCAGATGGAGGCATTTAAGATTCACATGATAAAATGGAACGGTATCAAATCCATTTATTTACTCTACCGGTCACAGGCTTATACATGATTGAAATCTCAATCTAAATGTACTGTGTTGTGATTTTAGTTGTTAAATTCTCCGTGTGTGTGTCTCAGGTCTCTGTCTGGGCGTATAGTGGGAGGAGTTTGGTGGTTCTTCACTCTTATCATCATCTCGTCCTACACGGCGAACCTGGCCGCCTTCCTCACGGTGGAGCGAATGGTGTCGCCGATCGAGAGCGCAGAAGATCTCGCCAAACAGACTGAGATCGCCTACGGGACTCTGGATTCTGGCTCCACCAAAGAGTTCTTTAGGGTGAGAGATCAATATTAATGCTTATTTAGACTTAGATCAATATTTAGATTGATGATTCATTCTAGGGCAGGGTGGTATGACGATATATATATATATATACTGCCATTCAAAAGTTTGGGATCAGTAATATTTTTCATATTTGTTCTCTAATGCTCACCAAGGCTGCATTTATTTGATTAAAAAAATATATATTATTACAATTTAAAGAAGCTATTTTCTATTTATAGTCAAGTGTAATTTATTTCTGTGATCAAAGCATCATTACTCCAGTCTTCAGTGTCACATGATCCTTCAGAAATCACTCTAATATGATGATTTGATGCTCAATAAACATTTATTGTTATTAACAATGTTGAAAACAGTTCCAGGATATTTATATATATATATATATATATATATATATTAAATAGATCAAAAGTGGCAGTAAATATATTTATAATGTTACAAAACATTACATTTCAAATAAATGCTGTTCTTTTGAACTTTCTATTCATCAAATAATCCTGAAAAATTAAATGTATCAGTTTCCACAGAAATATTAACTGTTTTCAACATTGATAATAATCAAAAAAATATCTTCAGGATAAAATCATCATATTAGAATGATTTCTGAAGGATCATGTGACACTGAAGACTGGAGTAATGATGCTTTGATCACAGGAATAAATTACATTTTAACATATATTCACATAGAAAACAGTTATTTTTAATCGTAATAATTTTTCACAATATTACTGTATTTTTTTATTATTCAAATAAATGCAGCTTTGGTGAGCATAAAAGACTTCTTTCAAATACACTTAAAATTCTACTGACCCCAAACTTTTGTTTATATATTTACATATCTATAGGCCATATCGTCTAATCACCAGATGAGGCTGGATGCTGTGTTTAGTTTGAGGGATCCAGTCTGACGTGCACATTAATGTTCAGTCATCACAATACTAGATCAGATATTGAATCAAGAGTATTAGCCTGCACTCAAGATCTACATAGAGAAACTGTCGGAGGAGCTAAAAAAGCGATTTACTCAGTGTAACGGATCCGCTGGAGGCAAGCTTATGGAGAACCCAAGTGCAGTTTATTACAAACAAGATCAAACATGAAACAAAAATGGCATGAAAACTCACAATGAAGACATGAACGTGGTCTACAGGAAACAATACTTAGCAAAGACACATGGCAAACATGAGGGCTTAAATACACAGACTAATGACAAGACAAGGGACACCTGTGAACAATGACCAGACAATATACCAATGACCAGACACATGGCAGGATCACATGACAAACGGAATCACATGACAAGACACAGAACCATGACAAGACACAGAACCATGACAATGACAAAACCAAAACGTGACACTCAGAGAGCCAAGGGAAAGCGATAGAGGGAGAAAGACAGATAGATGGAGAGCGAGAGAGAGAGAGAGAGTTAAATGAATGTTGTGTTCATTGATGAACTGAGCAGCGCTGCATGCGTCTCACTCAGTCTCTGTTTCCCTGTTGTCAAGCACAGATGGTGTGATGCTACACATCTACATGGGAAACTACATTCATTTTCTCACGCCATTCGCTTTCCACCAATCTGTCTCACTCTCTCCACCAGGTTTCTCATTCTCTCTGCGACAACTTGCACTGACCCGTCTCACCTTCTTTCTGTCGAGCTGTCTCACTCTCTCTCTGACACCTCATTCTCATTCTCTTGACCAACCCGTCTCTCTCTCTTTCCGCCATTTCTTCTCATTCTTTCCACTAATCTAGTCAAAGTCAAGTCAAATTCATTTGTATAGCGCTATTCACAATACTCATTGCTTCAAAGCAGCTTTACAGAATCAGGATGTTAAAGGGTTAGCTCATCGGAAAATGAAAATGATCCCATAATTTACTCACCCTCAAGCCATCCTTGGTGTATATGATAGGGACGCACTGAAATGAAAATCCTTGGATGAAACCGAATATTGTGAAACGCTCAGCCGAAGGCAGAATACCCCCAAAAAAATTTGTGCTTTTTCCCCCCATTTATTTAGCCAATATTTCACTATTTGCATAAATTTAATAGCCAAAATGTTCTTTTTGCTATTTTGTATGGTTTTTCAAAGAACAAATACATTACAGAACTACAATTTAAAAACATTTATTTAACATTTTTTAACATTTCAGCAAATATTATACCAACAACACACAATATAACTTAAAATAAATAAACTAAAGATATTTTCATCTCCGTACGCGAGTCTATTTTTACAGAGAACTGTGGGAGGAGCTTGGGTTTGTTGCCCCGCCCTGTTAGTTTGAACCCCGAGAGGCATCGACTCTCACCTAATCTTACGCTACACCTACATCATGCGTCGGGTCAGAGGTCACTCGTCATGCGTCGGGTCAGAGGTCACTCGTCATGGGTCAGGTCAGAGGTCACTCGTCATGCGTCGGGTCAGAGGTCACTTGTCATGCATCGGGTCAGAGGTCACTCGTCAGAGGTCTGGTCAGAGGTCACTCGTCATGCGTCGGGTCAGAGGTCAGGTCAGAGGTCACTCGTCATGCGTCGGGTCAGAGGTCACCTGTCATGTGTCGGGTCAGAGGTCACTCATCAGAGGTTGGATCAGAGGTCACTCATCATGCGTCGGGTCAGAGGTCACTCATCATGTGTCGGGTCAGAGGTCACTCGTCATGCGTCAGGTCAGAGGTCACCTGTCATGCGTCGGGTCAGAGGTCACTCGTCATGCGTCAGGTCAGAGGTCACTCGTCATGCGTTGGGTCAGAGGTCACTTGTCATGCATCGGGTCAGAGGTCACTCGTCAGAGGTCTGGTCAGAGGTCACTCGTCATGCGTCAGGTCAGAGGTCAGGTCAGAGGTCACTCATCATGCGTCGGATCAGAGGTCACTCGTCATGCGTCGGGTCAGAGGTCACTCATCATGCGTCGGGTCAGAGGTCACTCGTCATGTGTCGGGTCAGAGGTCAGGTCAGAGGTCACTCGTCATGCTTCGGGTCAGAGGTCACCTGTCATGTGTCGGGTCAGAGGTCACTTGTCAGAGGTTGGGTCAGAGGTCACTCGTCATGCGTCAGGTCAGAGGTCACTCATCATGCATCGGGTCAGAGGTCACTTGTCATGCGTCGGGTCAGAGGTCACCTGTCATGCGTCGGGTCAGAGGTCACTTGTCAGAGGTCGGGTCCGAGGTCACTTGTCATGCGTCGGGTCAGAGGTCACTCGTCATGCGTTGGGTCAGAGGTCACTCGTCATGTGTCAGGTCCGAGGTCATGCGTCGGGTCAGAGGTCACTCGTCATGCGTCGGGTCCGAGGTCATGCGTCAGGTCAGAGGTCACTCGTCATGCGTCGGGTCCGAGGTCATGCGTCGGGTCAGAGGTCACTCGTCATGTGTCAAGTCCGAGGTCATGCGTCGGGTCAGAGGTCACTCGTCATGCGTCGGGTCCGAGGTCATGCGTTGGGTTAGAGGTCACTCGTCATGTGTCGGGTCCGAGGTCATGTGTTGGGTCAGAGGTCAATCATCATGTGTCAGGTCCGAGGTCATGTGTCGGGTCAGAGGTCACTCGTCATGTGTCAGGTCCGAGGTCATGCGTCGGGTCAGAGGTCACTCGTCATGCATCGGGTCCGAGGTCATGCGTCGGGTCAGAGGTCACTCGTCATGCGTCGGGTCCGAGGTCATGCGTCGGGTCAGAGGTCACTCGTCATGTGTCAGGTCCGAGGTCATGCGTCCGGTCAGAGGTCACTCGTCATGTGTCAGGTCCGAGGTCATGCGTCATGCGTTGGGTCAGATGTCACTCGTCATGCGTCAGGTCCGAGGTCATGCGTCGGGTCCGAGGTCATGCGTCATGCGTTGGGTCAGAGGTCACTCGTCATGCGTCAGGTCCGAGGTCATGCGTCGGGTCCGAGGTCATGCGTCATGCGTTGGGTCAGAGGTCACTCGTCATGCGTCAGGTCCGAGGTCATGCGTCAGGTCCGAGGTCATGCGTCATGCGTTGGGTCAGAGGTCACTCGTCATGCGTCAGGTCCGAGGTCATGCGTCGGGTCAGAGGTCACTCGTCATGCGTCGGGTCCGAGGTCACTCGTCATGCGTCAGGTCCGAGGTCATGCGTCGGGTCCGAGGTCATGCGTCATGCGTTGGGTCCGAGGTCACTCGTCATGCGTCGGGTCCGAGGTCATGCGTCATGCGTCGGGTCAGAGGTCACTCGTCATGCGTCGGGTCCGAGGTCACTCGTCATGCGTCAGGTCCGAGGTCATGCGTCGGGTCCGAGGTCATGCGTCATGCGTTGGGTCAGAGGTCACTCGTCATGCGTCAGGTCCGAGGTCATGCGTCATGCGTTGGGTCAGAGGTCACTCGTCATGCGTCAGGTCCGAGGTCATGCGTCGGGTCAGAGGTCACTCGTCATGCGTCGGGTCCGAGGTCACTCGTCATGTGTCAGGTCCGAGGTCATGCGTCAGGTCCGAGGTCATGCGTCGGGTCAGAGGTCACTCGTCATGCGTCAGGTCCGAGGTCATGCGTCGGGTCAGAGGTCACTCGTCATGTGTCAGGTCCGAGGTCATGTGTCAGGTCCGAGGTCATGCGTCGGGACAGAGGTCACTCTTTGGCCGGAACCCGACTCGTGTACGGCCGTTAGCAGAAGCCAGTGATTATAGTTTATAAAGTTATAAATATGTTTATTTACACAAGCGATTGGCACAAATCATGGGGTAATTTTCATTTTTGGGTGAACTAACCCTTTAATGTTTATAATATCTCAATATCTTCGTGTCTTATAATCGCATTTAGCAAATTACAGCTGGACGGTAATATAGATTACATTTTGTGACGATATAAACAAACAAGCATTTGAGATTTGCTACTGTATATGGTACATATTGCCCTTCGTGATTGTACTGTATGAAGTGGTATAGAATATATATCCAACTTTATACATAGTGCTGTGTGACATTTTGCAACAATACAAGGAATCACGCAGTTGTGATTTGCTATATAGCTAAATATCGCTCTATGTGATTATATTGTATGAATGCTAATGAAGTGGGATATAATATATATATACATTTATATATATATATATATAGAGAGAGAGAGAGCTGTGTGATTAATAGAGTTAATATTTATATTACAATATAAAGTGATCTGTCTCACTCTCTGGACTCCCATCACAGTAACAGTGTCGTCTCTGATCCACCGGCGAGAAGCATTTGATCAGTAACCGTGGGAATAAGTAAATGTCAGGCGTCCCGTTGTGTTCTGAGTTTGTTTGTCATTTGTTGTCGGGTGTTTGTGTCTGAGTCGAGGGTGTTGTTTATTTGTCGGCGTGTGATGTTTTATTCTGGAGTGTTACGGCACAACAGCGCGTCGCTCCAGGCCGGACGTGACAAACATTATAATGGGCCGGCTGTCCGTCTCGGTCCGCCGCTCTCCTCTCACACACTGGAGCGTCTGACTGAGCTTCTGTATGAAAGAGGCACAAATGATCGAGTACGAGACACACTGGGACACCAGCACGTCAAATACCATATCTCACAGGACTAACACACTTTCAGCCGTATTACACACATCCGTCTTATTTACAAGCACAGTAGTGCACACTTTAGAGCTCACTACAGTATCACACATATAAAATCACATATATCAATATGAATCCTGGGAAATAAAATGTATCACAATTTTCAACAATGTGCATCAGATCATCATATTAGAGTGATTTCTGAAGGATCATGTGACACTGAAGACTGGAGTAATGATGCTGAACATGCAGCTTTGATCACAGGAATAAATTACACTCACATAGAAAACAGATATTTTAAATTGTAATAATTTTTCACAATATTACAGTTTTTTTCTCTATTTTTAATCAAATAAGTGCATGCAGCTTTGGTGAGCGGAGACTTTTACCGACTTTTAGTGTATATTTGACCACTCTGCTACTTTTTACATAATCAAATTATTTCCGAATAAAATCACATGCACATTTATTAACATGCACATATTGAGCAAGAATATATACAGTCAGTCGATCATGTGCAAGAAATAAAAACCCCATAAGGATGATAAAATATGATTTATTTTGTGGGAGTGTATTATCAGAAAAAGTTTTTTTTAAAGTGAACTAATCCTTTAAGTTTATTAAGTGACGAGAATACTTTGTGTATAATTATACATTTAAGTAATATTAAGTTACTACATAGGGTTAGGGTTGAGGGTTAGTTGCATGTTAGTTGCATGATTAGGGTTTGGTTGAGGGTTAGTTGCATGTAATTATGCATAATTTACTGTATAGTACATGTAACAATGACACTGTAAAATAAAGTGTTACCAACGAGTTAAATATTCTTTAAGATAATTGCCATTTGACTAGTTGTGCCAAAGAACAATCTTTATCTAGTTTTCTATACCTTTTTTTTTATTTTTTTTTATGTCAAGTCACCTTCATTTATAAAGCGCTTTTATATAGACTGTTTCAAAAGCAGCTTTACAGTGATAATAGCACATTACAGTAACAGATTGTTTAGCTCTAGAATAAAGTTATTGTCCAGGTAAAGTAAGTTTCATGATTTTGAAGAACAGATTGTGTGACTGATTTGATGTCTTTCGCCCTCTAGAGGCCAAAGATTGCATTGTACGATTTTTTTTTTGTTGAGTTACTACGACTTGTAGTGCCAAAGGACAATTATCTTTATATGTATCTCTTTGATGATCTTTACAACATAAGTGAATCAATAAAAAACGTACTTTACCTGGACAATAACTTTATCCTAGAGCTGCTGTAAAGTCTAATCTGTTACGGTAATGTCCTACTATCACTGTAAAGCAGCTTTGAAACTATCTATATAGTTAAAAGCGCTATATAAATGAAGGTGACTGACTTTATCTAGTTTTCTACCTGTGTTTCTAGCTAAATACATGTTTGTGTGTGTGACTGATTTGATGTGTTCCGCCCTCTAGAGGTCAAAGATTGCGGTGTACGAAAAAATGTGGAGCTACATGAAGTCTGCGGAGCCCACGGTGTTCACCAAGACCACGGCCGAGGGAGTGGCGCGCGTGCGCAAGTCCAAGGGCAAGTACGCCTTCCTGCTGGAGTCCACGATGAACGAGTACACAGAGCAGAGGAAGCCCTGCGACACCATGAAGGTCGGAGGCAATCTGGACTCCAAGGGATACGGGGTCGCGACTCCCAAAGGATCGCAGCTAAGGTGGGTGGAGTCCTATAACAACCCACCAATCACAGAGCTGTTATAGTATTCCACCTACCCTGCTGTGTTTCTCTCTCTCTCTCTCTCTCTCTCTCTCTCTCTCTCTCTCTCTCTCTCTCTCTCTCTCTCTCTCTCTCTCTCTCTCTCTCTCTCTCTCTCTCTCTCTCTCTCTCTCTCTCTCAGTTTCTCTCAGTTGTCACACTCAGGACTCTCTGTGACACAGTGATGTTTTGTGGTCACATATACAGATGCTGTCTTTAATCTAATCGAAGTGGGGATCAACATCAGGGACTTAAAAAATACTGAAACTATATATGTAATGTATATATATTAGTCAAACCAAAAATGATTCAGACACCAGATATCATTTTTAATGTTTGTTTTCTAGTGTGTGCAGGACACTATAGTTCGTTTATGTAAGTGAGGAGAGCAAAATAAAGTAAACTGTGACATATTATACCCAATAATTCTTCATACAGTGACTACCAGTAATATCTATAAACATTTGGGACTAAAAATTATTCCGACATCATGTTTTCTGAAGTGTTTTTACTTTAATTGCTAATGCTCTTTTTACACACAGACTGAACAACATGAAGCATTGCTTGGTGATTGGTTGAGCTAAACTGTTATTATCTAATTGTGTAGTTAAATTTAACAGCTGACAGATATTATGGAAGACGTGGGTAATATATGGTTTATCCACTTTGCGACACGAACTATATCTGTAGCTATTTGAGCTACAGAACTTAAAGATCTCCCTCTTTTCGGTTTCTTTCTTGCTGCATTAAGGGGTTAGTTTACCCAAAAAGAAAATTGTGAGTAATTACTCACTCTCATGTTGTTCACGCATCTCACACACGACCAGCGTCGGCCAATAGTGAGCCTACGTGTGACGTACAACAGAAGCGCTGCGCTGTTACACTACGTGAACTATCTCGAGGCCCACAGAGAAGAACATGAAGAGTTGAATAAAGTCGTTATTTTTGTTTTGTTTTTTTGCGCACAAAGTATTCTCGTCACTTAATAAACTTAAAGGATTAGTTCACTTTTAAAAAAACTTTTGCTGATAATTTACTCACCCCCCGTGTCATTCAAGATGTCCATGTCTGTCTTTCTTCAGTCGAAAAGAAATGAAGGTTTTTGATGAAAACATTCCAGGATTTTTCTCCGTATAATGGACTTCAATGGGGTCCAAACGGTTCAAGGTCTAAATGACAGTTTCAGTGCAGCTTCAACGGGCTTTAAACGATACCAGACGATGAATAATGGTCTTATCTAGCGAAACGATCGATCGTTTAAAAAATAAATAAAAAAGTTTAAGTTTTAAGGCCAATTTATACTTCTGCGTCGAGTGTACGCCGTAGTGTACGGCGTACGCTACGCACGTAGGCGACGCCGTCATGAGCATTTATACTTCTGCGTTTAGGTCTGCGTTGCTCTGCAGTACAGCGCCGAAACGCTAGTTGGCGGCGGAGGGTTTTAATGTTCCACTGTGTTTAGATTCCTCGCGGCAAGAAGAAGAAGATTCCTCGCAGCTGTTTTGAGTTTAGGTTACTACAAGCAATGGCGACTGAAAGAGAGCAGATCATGTTGGAGTTGGAGCTTATCGAGGTGGAAAAGGTACATTTTTAGTTTTTTTAACAGTTTCGCTGTACTTAGAATTTAAAAATGGCGGGCGGTGCAGAAGAACACGCCGGAAATGCATAGGAGGAAACGCGATGCTACCAAGCCGACCAATCACAGATCTTGCGGTCCGCGTCGTCGCGACGTGTAGTTACATTTTTGAGGAGGTGCGCGTCAGGTTACGGCGAAGGGTACGGCGTATGGTACGCGTCTGTGCGTATGCTACGCCGTAACTACTGCGCGCACCCGACGCAGAAGTATAAATTGGCCTTTATAAGCACAAATGCTCGCCTTGCTCTGTTCTGTGATGCGCGTTCGTGACGTCACGTAATACTCAATTACGTTGAAAAGGTCTCACAGAACAGAGCAAGGCGAGCATTTGTGCTTATAAAACTTAAACTTTTTTATTTATTTTTGAAACGATCAAGGGCAGATCAAGGCTTCGTGAAGCAATGAAACAGTTGAACCAAATGTGGCATATTGTGTCGAGGCTTCGAAACAATCTGACACCCGTCTCAACGGTGACACCTAGTGGTCACTTTCAGGTGTTGAACTGAACCAACCTTGACAACGAGCCATTAAAAATGTGTTTTTTTAATTATTGTAGCTTTTTTTCTAATATGTGAAGCTTATAACCTGTAGGCTAAAAGAAATCTAGCCACAATGTCTCACTTTTTTAGAGATTCTTATTAAAAATATTAATTTCTCTTCTTTGGAAGGACTTTTTTTTTTACAGATAATTTCCGTTCAGATAAAACCCACGAGGTCAAGATGAGTTGACTTCACTTTTAAACAGATGTGCGATTGTGTGGTCTGTTCCCGACCCTTTCAATCAAACGCTGAATCGGCGGAGCACGCCACCTGTCGAAACACTCAGAAGCTTCATTTAGCCGTAGTCACGTGACATGGGTGTTTTGAATCACGCTTCGGATCAGTGTTTCGAAACATCAGCGCTTCGGGATCTCGCAAAGCTTCGGAACGACAGTTTCGCGTCAGCCATCCCTAATGACCGATCGTTTCGCTTGATAAGACCCTTATTCGTCGTCTGGTATCGTTTAAAGCCCGTTGAAGCTGCACTGAAACTGTCATTTGGACCTTGAACCGTTTGGACCCCATTGAAGTCCATTATACGGAGAAAAATTGGATGACACAGGGGGTGAGTAAATTATCAGCAAATTTAAAAAAAAAAAAAGTGAACTAATCCTTTAAGATTGAGCCACTGTAGTCACTCGGACTATTTTAACGATGTCTTTAATAACTTTTGGGCCGGCCAGTTTCGATCCCTTAAGAAGCCTATGGAGGAGTGATCCAGCTCTCAGATTTAATCAAAAATATCTTAATTTGTGAACGAAAGTCTTACGGGGTTGAACAACATGAGGGAGAGTAATTACTGACAGAGTTTACATTTTGGGGTGAACTAACCCTTTAAAGATGAAATGGTTAAACGTCTGTTTTTCATCCGAGCATCCGATTGCCGGTCGGGAGAGGTTAATCGCCTCTCGTTTTCCCTTTGTATACACTGCACGACAAAGCTGAAAATCTTCCCGACCCGAAAAATTCCTGTCATATTTTATTACCATTTTCTAAACTATAGTGAATAAACTGTGATAATGTGAGAAAAGGTGTCTGAATGAATTTTGGTTTGGTTTGGTTTGACTATATATATATATATATTGGGGTGTAACGGTACACAGAAGTCAAGGTTCACGGTTCGATATGAGTGCGGTACATTTACGTGTGATTTTGTCTCATTACAACAGCGTAAACTTAAAATACTCTGTCATTTATGGTCATGCAGAGTAAGACGTCATTCGAAACTGATTTTGGCTTCCAACGATTATTGAAACATGATGCCGCTTTCCGTTCCTATCCTTTAAAGCGGTGCGCTGTCACCCGTGCGTAACATCCGTATCATGTAATGTCACGTGTTAAAGCGCAGTAAGCTGTGAACGACACTATAGATATCCATAATAAAGGCTAGATGTCTTACGGCGGAGTCTCTATCGTCATCACCGGCGGCCATCTTGTCACAGGCAAGCTTTCTGGCGGGCTCTGATGTAAGATGAGTGATCAGCACGAACACTAATACTCTTATCTCGTCGAAATCTTGACGGATTTACAAACGGTTTGGTTTCTTACAAACGTTATTAACGTGGCTATAATTCTGGATGATTATTTATTTATACACTTATTATTCATAATAAGTATGCAGTGTCATAACTACATCTCTGACGTTAATAACAAACCAAACCATTTGAAAATCGGTAGAAAATTGAGCAAGTTATGGTTATTTAAAAAGTACATGCAGCATTAAAACACAATGTTACGAGTGAGCGAGCTGCCTGTGGCAAGATGGCCGCCAGTGCGGATGTCCACCTCCATTGGCCAGCAGCGCGGACGAGACATCTAGCCTTTATTATGGATATCTATGAACGACACGCTGTCCAACATCCGGTTTCTGTCTGCGAGATCCGAGATGGAGAGAAACACGGACAAGTACAGGCTACTTTGGGCTTCGGGTGTGCGATAAAACGGACAAAAACACGCAAAAATATGTCAAAATGTCCGTCTTAGGGACTTTTTAACTTAAACGCATACAGTTTTGTCTTCGGTGAACATGAACATTCAGTGATAATCGAATGCTTGTCAGTGTATTAAGTCATTTTGGTCTTAAAGGGACAGCAGCCTAATAAACCCGCCGCTCTCTCTGTCATTAAATGTTAATCACACAACAAAAGAAAGTGAGAGAATCATTCACTGATCTTCACCGAGTAACATTTGTAACTTTAATAGGAATCGATGTATATTTAATTCATACAGTGAAGTACTACATGCCTTCTGTCGTCTGATTAATCGTTTAGACTTTTTTAGCAAGTAAAACCTTTTAGTATAATTGTAAAATGTTCACTTTTAGCTCGAGTGTTTTTGCTGTGAAATCTTTACTGATTTTTATAAAGTAAATGTAAGAATAACTTTGATATTTGAAGATTTAATGGACTTAATCAACTTGATTTACTTAAATATCCAGACATTATTTTTTATTCAAGTATCAAATATAATATCAAAATATGATCATCAGGCTTTTGAGGTTTATTTGTTCATCTGTCAATCACCATTGTATTGCATTGCATTATATATGTTTTAAAACTACAGAGCTTTGATCATAAAACTAAGCATTTAAATATCATCTTACTAAGGCGTATTATTGGCAGATATAGAGTACCGACTGATATTTATATGCATTTTAATCTGTTATGAAGATCCCATTGCTTTCATAATTTCATCTTACTTTTTGCTCATATAAATATCAGCATCTGCAACAAACTGCATATTTCTTGCTCAGTTTGGGCATCTGAATAAATTTGAGCTGTTTT